CATGTCTTGCCTGTCCCTCAAGCCGGTCAATGAAAGCAAACTCCACAAAAAAGCACAGCCAATCGCCTAAGCATATAAAAAACTACAATATATGGCTGGCTCAAAAAGCAGCAACCGAGGCCGCAACAGCTAATTCACAGAAGAATGTTGAGGATGAAGCCAACTCTTCAAGTCAAGACGATCAAGTACCATATGTTGGTGATATTGGTGATTTTGAGATTGATGAAGATATTGAAGAGCACCAAAAAGAGCTGATTGATCTCTGGACCAAGGACTATACTAACATTTTCAACACGCCAGTGCACAGCCCAAACAGCAGTGAAGCTATCTCTCTCGTGGCTAGTGTCCACGGCAGAAAAGATATTGGTGATGATGAAAATCAATCTGAATGTGACAATCAGTTCAACCGTGAAGACACTGTTGATCAGGATGAATCTTCTTGGGATCCATTCTCAAGTCTTGAGGCACGTTTGTATTTTTGTCAATCAGCTGTTCTTGCTACTTACTTGAATTACTGGTTCAGCAAATTGTTGGTACCCTTCTCTTAGGGCATGTTCACTTAAGCAATTTCTGGTGAGAAATCACATTCTGCAAAATTTAAAGTGTCTATTTGGTAGTGCATATTGCATTTTTGCATTAAAAAATTTGCAGAATGTGATTTCTGGTCAAAATTTTCTTAAGTGAACGCGCCCTTAGGATCAACAAGGACTACATTATCTTTGTTGGAATATGAGCGTATTCGCTTTTTGTTCAGCTTACTTGGGTCAAAGATTCCAGCATATAAGACCATTCAGGACCTCCGCCAACGACTTAAGAAGAGATTTGACTTCAATGTTTGTGAAAGTTTCAGTGCACTGCACAAACCTTGCTTTGGTTTTCAAGTCAAGGAGATTTTGACGCAGGCAAGCACTTGAGATGAATTCACCAAAAATCTGATATGTAGATTGATGAGACTTCAAATTGTTTTCAGGAAATTGGAAATCCCTACGTCACAGAAGTCCTTGAGTTCATACCCAAACTTCCAGATCCAACTTCAAAAGTTTATTGCCTTTCTCAATCAAAGAAGTGGCGCGAGGAGCTTGATTCTGACTTGAGAGTGCAAATGATTGAAAAAGATAGCATTCATTTCTATTTGTATGAACCAGTTCAACTACAAGACAAGAGGCTCGTAGTTCCTCTATATTTTTATAAATCTGGTCAAGATATCTTTGCAAAATGTGTCTCTGTGTTCCAAAAGTTTGTAAAAGAAGGTAGTTCAACAAGAATACAAACAGAATTCCCGTATGTTTCCACATTTGATTCACCATTGTTTACAACAATCAATGTCAACAAATTCTGGAGGACTTTTGACGGAATAAACGAAAAAAAGCAGATGGTCGCATCATTCGTCATATGCCTTTAGTACTATATTGTGATGATCTTTCTGGCAATGTGTCAAAAAAATGGAATAAGCATATTGCTTTTTACTTTACCTTGGCCGGTCTACCTCCAAAAATGGCAAATCAAGAATACAATTGTCATTTCTTGACCACGTCAAACACAGCAGGTGCCTTAGAGTTGGCAGATCCTCTCATTGACGGATTGAAGTACGCTCATCTCTCAAACTTGACACACAACTTATTCTTGCTGACATATGCCAACAGCAACCTGATGACAGAGGGTTTTGTGGCCTATGATCACAAGTCTCAATCAGAAGTCCTTGTTATGGTGACAGTACTCTGTCATCTAGGAGACTCTCCCATGCACGCGGAGGTTACCAACACCATGAACCCAACCAGCTCCCTTTCACCTTGTCGAGTTTGTCACCTGAAGGTAAAATCTCTTATGGAAAAACGTTCAAAGAAGTATGTATGTGATTTTGTGGGTATAGACAAAACTGGAGAGCGGGTAGGTTGTACCTTTGGCTATAAATGGATGGTAAAATAACTTGACCTACCATTTTTGGTTCTAATCTTAGGCATCTCTTCCCAAACGCGATTGGACAGCAACAATCAAGGGGACAAAGGAACTTTGGGAAATAGCTCAGATTCCTGGAACAATTTCACAATTTGACACGAAATCATCATCCTTCAGCATCCAAGACACTCAAAATGCCCCATTTGTCAAACAAGCTCAAGATTTACATTGAAATTCAAAGATCCCTAAAGAAGATATAGCTCATATGTGTCGCGAACTGAATGAGCAGTTTGGAGAACGGTTGTTCAATCCGTTTTTGTGTTTAAAAGGTTTGTGTGAATCACCTTCTTTCTAATTGATGTCTTGCATGTATTTCATCATGAAAAATCATTCTTCTCATCAGGCTTTGATGGACATCGTGATACCCCAGTCGAGGTCTTACACGTCGCTCTATTAGGGGTTTCTAAGTACTTCCTACAACATCAAATGGCCAAATTCACCTCTACCGAGAAGGAAACAATCTGGGGCCGTTGGAGGTCATTTAATACTTCTGGTCTGAATATTCCACCTATCCAGCCAAAAAGTATGATCCAGCATTTTCAGAGTCCCACTGGAAAAGAGTTCCGAGTAGTATTACAGGCTGCACCTTTCATATTCTTTGAAAGTAAATTATCTGACAAGGAACGTGAAGCATGGAAAGCGTTGGCCCACCTTGCTCCTTATATATTTCAGACAGAGATTTCCAACATGGATGTCTATATCAAGGAACTCAATCACCTAATTCAGAAATTTTTGAAGACTGTTGTACAGCTTTTGGCTCAATGGTGCAATAAGCCAAAGTTTCATATGCTGATACATCTATGTGATTCAATTCGCCGTTTTGGTCCTCCTTGTCTATTTGCAACTGAAAACTTTGAATCCTACAATGGAAATACTCGAAATTCATCAATCCACTCAAATCATTTAAGTCCAGGTCGCAACATTGCAAATTCCTTCAACAGCTATAAACTTATAAGGGCCTTAACTGCTGGAACAAAATTATATGATAAACAATTGAAAACATACATTCATGCAGGCTCAAAAGTACAAGAGCTATCTCGTGAGAATAAGCTATTCCAAAAAGCATCAGGATTCAACGCTTCATGGAACCAACCTTACCAAATCAAGATAGGAAGTAAGAGAAGTCATGTTTTCCCTCAGCAATATCAGCTGTGAACGGTCTTTCTAACATTGTGTGTTGATTTGAATTGTGTTTTTAATGAAATGATAATTTCTGATGTTGATTATAGAGAAGAAAGTATTACAACCACCAAATCCATGCGAACTGATCCCAAATAAAATACTTGATGCATTCAGTGCAAAGGACTGGAAAGTCCTAGAATCCATAACTTTGAAGAATCAACAAAGAGTGACTGAAAATGCTTTTGTCTCACTTAAAAACAATGAATCTCTCAATGGAACAATTGTCTGTGTTCAACAAATTTGGGGCACAGGAGCTTGTGCGGAACAGCAAACAATTATCAAAGCCACATGTTGTCAATTGGGCCAGGTTAGTAGCTTTTATGGAATGCGCAAGATCAAGGAAACCAATGCTGCTATTTGGATCATTGTTTGGGTGAGTAAATGCTGTGTTCTACAAGCTACATATATATTAACTCATACCTCTGAGAATACAGGACATTGACGGGGTCCTCAATGTCCAACACAATTGCCATCAAAGCAAATGTAGTGTTGACAAGGTTTGACCAATTATGGTTGAACGTCAGGTGTCCAAAGGCCTGGAATTCACAGTGGTTCACAAGCCCACAAAGGACTACATTATTAATGCAGGCGCCTTCTATTCTGCCAAGCTTCATCGTTCTGCGGGTAAGATGACCTTTGAGGATCCCAATCCGAGTGATTGGGTGAATATAGTGCAAATAGGCCTTTCAAATTGGGAAGACACTGTAAAAAAAAGATGAAATCAAGGAGAAGCAACACCAAAGGGAAAGAGATAAGTTAGTGAACCAAACAGGTCAACCTCCGGCGAAGAGAAGCAGAACTAGGAAAAACCCACAGTCACAGGCTCAACCACAAGCCGGCCCATCAAATTCTCAATTAATTGCAAGTTATTTATCAAGTTCTCGACCTTCACAAATGCCTTGATAGAATAATTTTTCCTTGTGAGCGTTTGGTTTGTGATTGAAGGAAGTACAAATAATGTTTCCTTGTTAGCTTGTTTGTAATTGAAGGAAGTGTGAAAGAAGTTGATTTTGAAGGACTTTTGTTGAGTTTTTTATTTTGTAATTTAAAGGAACTAACTGAAAGGATATACATTCATAACATGGTCAAGTGGAGAGCAACTTCATGAGTTATGCCAAAACAAACATCCTTCCAAAATGAACAAAATGGGTTCATTTCTATGGCACACTGCCTTTAAACAAACATCCATTGAATGTCATTGAAATTGAATAAAACAAGGCTAAAAATGGGTTCATTGCTATGGCACACTGCCTTTGAACAAACATCCATTGACCATCATTAAATAAGACCACAAAATGAACAAATGGGTTCATTGCTATGGCACACTGCCTTCGAACAATTATCCATTGAACATCATGGAATTAAGTAAGACAAGGTGACAAGATTGAATGATTGAATGAGCTGTTAGGTGGCAAAATTGAATATGGAATTGCTGAAGGTGGAAAAATCGAATGAGCTGCTAGGTGGCAAAATTGAATATGGAACAAATTGAGGAGACTGGGCCCCTTTGAAGCTTGTCTATTTGTATCAATCTAGGCAAAAGCACCTGTTGCTTTCAAAAGGAAGCAAGCTGCTTTTCAAAAGCAACAGACAGGTGCTTTTGAAAAGTGTTTTTGAAAGCAACAGATGCTTTTGAAAAGCTGTGCGCTTCTTTTGAAAAGCATGAGCTGGTTTTGAAAAGCCAGAGTCTTGGAAATAAATGCAAAACATATTCTGAGATTCACAAAAGAAGCCATTTTATGGCTTCATCAACACATTGACTTTCTATCTTTGGAATTAACAGAGTCAATGAGATTGAAGGTGTGCAGAAAGCCAATCTCATGAAAAAATAAGGGCCATGTCATCATTTCAGTGTGTCACAGATGAATGACAAGTTGGACCAATCTTCATTTTGATTTTAATTTGAAGTGTTCAACTTTCAATTTGCTTTTGAGCATCCCAGCTTCATCCTTCACCTCACCAATCCTTCTGCCATGCCTCAAAGCAAAGGCAATTGGTACACCCCTTATAAGCGAGCCACAACTGCGCAGGTCAACCCTCAAGATCAGGGCCAAAGAGGTCACAGTTGTCCTCAAGCTTCTGGAAGTCAAGTTCGCCAGGGTTCTCAATCTTCTGGAAGTCAAACCAACCGTTCTGCACAAGCTTCCAAAAACGCAGTCAAGCATACTGTTACTAGTCTGAAGAAGGGCCAGACCAAACTCCAGTCAAACAAGGACGCCAATCCCTTCGGACATACTTCAACTGTTTCAAAGAAGGGCAAGACCAAACGCCAGCCAACCACAGACACCGAAGACTCTGAGCAAGGCTCTCGCAAATCTCCGAGTCCAATCCAACAACATGATATAGATATGTTGAATGGTGATGCCGATTTCAACAATGGAAATCAACATCCTCACGGAAATAGTGAAGAAGAACATGGAAATCAATTTCATGAAGAAGATGAAGCTGTACATTGAACTCAAAGTGATGATCAAGAACCTAGCCAACATACGAGTAGAGTAAAAGGTAAGTCTTGGATATCTTATATCAAGTCAAGGAAATATACTGATATTATTTTGATCAAGAAAAAGGACATGCAGATGTTGTAGGATCACCACCAACTGATGATGACGGGGGGCTTGATTTATTAGCTTCTCGCATGTCAGGTTTGAAACCACAATCATTCAATAGAATTATCAATTGCTTCAAACTTGATGAAGAGCATACAGCCATGGGGCGCCACCTTTGCAACGTAAGTCAGAAGAAGAACTTCATCCACATTTTATTGATACTCTTGTTTTCCAGGTCACTTTGCCCAAGGATAAATTTCACACTATCATGATAACAATGCTATTGCTTCATGAAGAATTGGAAAATTTATATGGCCAAATGAATGAAGCTGAGAAGGCCCCAGAACCCATTAAAAAAAACACGCTAGTTCCAAGGCCACCCCTTGGAAAGATGAAGACCATAGCTACCTCAAGGTAATGTTGCGTGATTCTCCTTTTCATATTTGCCTTTACTGACTTGTTTGTCTCCGTCTCTATCTCAAATATGACTTGTTGATCCATGTCAGGATGCTGTGCGTACTTGGGCATGGAGAACAATCATGGACGGCAATATTCAAGCATACACTGCTAAGAAAGACAGCAACAAAATTCTTCTTCCCTTGTCTTTATTTGAAAAAGTGATGGTGTGTTTTCATCCTTGAATTAACTTGCCTAAATTGATTGTACTGATGCACAGCGAGCCAGACTGGGATATTAACCAAATCAACCAAATGGAAAAAGCAACATTTGCCACCCAAATTTGGAGTGGGCCCTGAACTTGAATCTGCTCGTGCATTGACCACACTCGTGAATGATGTTTTAAAGCAGGTCAGAAAGGATTTCGAAACCATAATAGTGTTCAAAGCTGAAAACTTGACATTTTGAAAGAGATTTTGAAGCGAGAATTTTGAACTGTGATTTTTGTACAGATGAACATTGATTCTCGTACAGATATGATCAGAAGGAAGTATCACTGAGTATGGATGTGCCCCCCATATCTGGACAAGAATCACAGTTTTTCTGTATAAGAATCACGGTTCGAAATCTTTCGCTTCAAAATCTCTTTCAAAATATGAAGTTTTCAGCTTTGAACACTCAATTTCGTGATGTTTCTAGTTCATCATCTGAATCAAAACCAAACTTCTCCAGCTCATCACAAATGTTAAATTTCCGGACCGAGTCACCCCACCTGTTGACGCGAGCGTACCCAAACTCAATTCTATCATTATCAAAGTAAGTTTTTTCCTGGTCATCTTGCTGTGTCAATCAGATTGAAAACAACACTTATATTCGTTTACATAGCTTTACCAAAAGAAACACTCTTATGTTGGTGGTAAAGTCCTTGCAGAGACTGATATCATCAAGCAAACGGATCACCTCCAAAGGACTCGGTATGCATGGCTGGTCCATATTTTCATTTGATCTTGTAATGAACTATGAATCAATCTGATTTTTGATCCGTTTTCTTCACTCACTGCTCAGAGAATGCAGGCCATCCACTGGGGGATGAACCTTTCAAAGTATGCTCCCAAGACTTTGTGGAATGTTATAGATGACAAATTGGATGACTTACGTTCAGAAAGTCGACAATACCGTTATGCGTAGGTTTTTCCTCGTGTTTGACCAAATGGCTTCAAAATCATACCTGAATACCATGCGTCTTATATTCTAGATTCTTTGCATTGTGCCTACAACGCGACTGTAAACGGATCAATGGTAAAAAGAACTTTGCACAACTGAAGACTTCAACCAGTTTTTCTTTGCCAACAGAGGAGGAAATAGAGCACGAGATCCACAATTTAGATGAAACACATGGGCAGGAGGTTTTACCAAATGAGGAATTCTTTGCGTCTGATCATGAAGAAGCACCTGATGATTCAGAATCAGAAGAATTGGAATGAATTCTTGATATAATGACTGCCTTGTTTTGCATTGTCTGTATATCTCAGCAATGACTTTCAGTTGTTTCCTCAACGGTTGTTTTTCTCACTCTTATTTCCTTCATTCTCATTTTTCTCATTGTAGATACGCTATGAACTCTGTCTAAAACTTTGTATCATCAGGATTTTGTATTGACATTTCAAGTGGACTGAAATAGGACCCTGGAAAGCTCCTACTGAGCCGTCTGACGAAAAAAGTCCTTTTTTGGCCTTCTAGGGCTCAAATGTATGTGACCAAACATGTCCTAATTTGATTTTGGGCAAAAATGCATGTGACCAGAAAAGTCCGGATACCGATGAGGCGCGGCTATGCATGTGACGAAAAAAGTCCGGATACCGATGAGGCGCGGCTATGCATGTGACGAAAAAAGTCCCCTTTGGGGGGAGTTGAACCCATGCATGCAGGCAAGAAGCAGCATTAATGCTGAGCATCGCTTTCCTGCTATTGGGCCATTGGAACATGCCTTCTGGAACACGATATGAAGCCTCGTCGGCTGAAAACTTATACGTGAATATCTAGAAATATACAGATGTGTCAATACAGCTGAGCTTGCGAAAAATTGCAAATTTTCCACATTATATAGCATTGCTTCCTGTTGCTTCCTTAGCTTGACATATTTTCTTGATATACCTTCAAAAAACTTCAAATAGCTTCATAGACTCCAATCTATATACTCGAATTCACTGCCTTTCACCACTCAACTACAAATAGAGCAGCAACCACAATGTCTCACAAGACTATCCATCAGCCAGAAGTTGCCAAACTGATTTCGAAGATAATGCGACTCACTCAAGCGTGTCCAAGTTTACCAGTTGCTACCAGGGATGATAAATTATATATGGTTTATCATGAGGCACCATGGATGAGTCCTCAAGACGAAGATGAAGGCATATGGTTTGCGGTCGATAAGAAGATCACAGCAACTTTTGGAATTGATGTCATTAAAAAAAATCTGATGTGAGGTTCTCTCAAAATCGAGTTGGCTCTGAAATATTTCAGCAAGGCCCGTGATCACAAGACTTGGACACCAAACTCGGAGGGTCTTCTTAAGGCCAAGCTTCAGATGATTGTGCAGGAATTAATAAGTTAGTTTCACCAATTTTGATATTAATATCTGACAAAAGCTAATTGATTTTGAGTCAAACAATCATCACAGAGGCTGGGGCTTCTGATTTCCTTGATGAAGGGGCAACAACCGCTGATAGAGAGAAAAACGAAGGTAAATTTTCTCTTCATTCCTATTAAAATGGATCTCACCATTGAGTGTAGTTTGATTTTATGATTTGCTTTCACATAGCTGGAAAATCAAGTGATTCTATATCAGCAAGAAAATCTCACGGGGCATCAATGGTCATGAAACGCCGAGTTGTTTCACAGCCTGATGTAGATCCAGATGCCTGTCACAGTCAACCCAAAAAACCAGCTGCAAAACGCCCTCAAGTTGATACCCTTGAATCCAAGGAAGCTACAATAATCATATCTTCAGACGATGAAGTCACCCTACCACGTAAAAGCACTAGCGCAACTGTATTGGCTCCAAAGAAACCTCCTGGTGTCTTGAACAAGATCGAGAAGGTCAATCTCATATCTTCAGATGATGAGGTCACCCAACCACGTAAAATCACCAGCAATGTTGTATTGGTTCCAAAGAAATCTACGTGTGGCTCTTCCAAAGTCGATAAGGCCAAAAAGGCTACAAAAGTCCTTGATAATTGTCCTTTATCAACACCCGATACGCCTTGCAACCGATGCAAGATTGAGGTAACATCAGCGGATAAGGAATTTCGATGTCATTGCGGTCAAAAGATGATACTCTTACGAGCTGGGCGCAGTGAGAAAGCACTCAGTCATTGGAATACAAGTCAGTCTTCTTTATACTTTCAGATTATCTTTGACCTTACTGATTATAATCACTTCAACAAATTACAGAAGCCTGTAAACAGAAGACCTCTACATTACGCTCAAATGCACTGTTGGTTGGATTTCTGGCCCAATCACATGGAGATGATAAACGGGTCAAACACGGCTTTGTTGAGATTGAGTGTCCTGGTCTCACCGATGCTACATGGGATCGACCACGGGCAACATATTCAATCAACCACTTTCTTGAACATACATGTAGTATCTATCGCGGAAACAATCGACACCGCGTATGCCAAGAGCTTTTTGGACAGAATGCCACCAAAAAACAACTTTCAACCGATGAAAAAGCTAGATTGATGACTACACTTGATGCTCGAGCAATATGGGAGGTCAAACGTCATGGATCACGTAGTGCTATATACTCTCGAAAATGTACAACTACCCTCCTGATAAAGAAAACTGAGAAAATCCAAAATTGTTCAGAATGTGAATCTCTCAAAGGAGTCCGTAGTTTGATCAGCGCAATCAATCATGAATTTGCTGATGAAGATACCCTCAAATATACATCTGATCAGCTCATGGAAACCGACATACACCACGCCACCTTTGTAAAGTTCAAAGATCTTCGGGTCTGTAAAAGCTCTCTTGAGTCTTCACAGAACGGAGACTTTCGCGAGTTTCTAACTCATGTTTCAATCTTGGCCGGCAAGGGTTTATTCAAAGATCGAGAGGCGGTTCAAGGTTTGTTCAAGAGTGTTGCTGTGCGAGCAGAACGTGAAATGGCAGGGAAGTCTCTCCGAGGGATGCGGGTTGATCCATATTTAGACGACTGCCTCACCACTCTTGGAGCAATGAGTCGCAGTGCACTTAATCTTTTCAGCAAGACTTTTGCAGGTTGAACAGCCCGAAGTCAACGTATGATTGAGGCAAAAATTGGAGGGAAAATGGAACCTGAAATACATCCAGCAAATTTCCATCGAATTGTGAAGAATCTTCAAGCCTTGGGTTACTCAGGACCAATTGCTGCCGCGTCCGACCAGACAGTGTGTGTCAAAACACTGCGACATCATAATCAGTGTCTAGTGGGTGCAGAAGGAGGCGACAAGCCGTTTGAGAACAATGAAGAACTTAAAAGACTTATGAAAGACATAGTTGACAATGATAAGTTATGTTCAAAGGTGAGTTTGTACTATAATTTTTCATAATGTTTGTACAAAACACTGACATCATGACTCATTTTTCATATCAAGATTCGAGCTTACACCATCCAGGTGCCGTTGCCAAATATTCCAACTTATGTAGTAGCTCTCATATCTAGTCGTTCAAAAGAAGGAGCAAAAGATATTGCAGATGAGCATGCAGCTGTTATTGAGCTGGCACACACATCCGGTATCAACATCACGTCAATGGGAGCTGATGGTGCTGCCACTGAGATATCCGCTCAGAAACTGCTTGCTCAAAAGACTGATAAATATCTCACATATTCAAAATCTAACTTGCGAGTACATGTCAAAGTACCTCTGTTTGGAAATCCTCCTCGCCCAGTTGTAGCTGTACAGGACCCAAAGCATGCGAGAAAGACTGGAGCAAATCAACTTTTATCTGGTTCGCGGTTACTTGTCATGGGAAAGTATACCATCACTATCCAACAGCTTGCGGAGATTCTCAAGATGCCCGATAGTCCCCTTCTAGCAAAGGATGTATTTGATAGTGATAAGCAAGATGATGGCCGAGCTTTTCGAACGCTATCTGCATCCACTCTTTCAGCCTCACTTCGCCTCAATTCGTCTACCGGCTTGACAATTTTCCTTTTCATCATCGGCGAGTTGGTCGATTCTTGGTTGAGTAAAAGTATGGGACACAGAGAGCGCATACGCTCTGCATGGACTGCGGGATTCTTCTTACGGCGATGGAAAGGCTACCTTCAGAAACGCGAGAAAGAGACAAACGGCCTCATGAGTTTTCATCTAAACTGCATCTCACACGCTAGTTATAAAATATTCTCCAGTCTTCCCATTTATCTTCTGGGTATGATCATATCATATCGAGATTACTATCCAGACTATCCATTCTGTCCTTGGAAGCATGGAACCGAATCCTGCGAACATGTATTTGGATGGATGCGAGTACTTTCACCTCGCTTCTCCGTCCTCGATGCTCGGTTCATGATGCCAAAGATTCATGCAGTTGTTAAGAGTGTAATGAGTGGCAAAATCAAAATCCCTCCTTCTGAACACATTCACTTGGGTTATCAATATGCTTTTGGCGACGAGGGAACCTTAGAAACAATTGAACACCTTCGGACTTACCCAACTAATGCCGAGATCTCTGAGGATCTAACCATTGCGAATCAACTTGCAAATAGTCTGGCTCATCTAGCAGGGATGGGTCCATTAGATCCTGAAGATGATGACTTACCTGTTGAGGACAATGATCTGCCTTTTGCTGATGAAGACCTTGTTCCAGATATGACTGATAGCTCACCTGGTATGCGAATTTAAAGTCTTGAAAACTGTAGTATACTTTGTACTGACATCAAGTTTGGGTTCCTATCAGATATATCAACGTGCGCGACTAAGGACTATTGTGTTCATTACACCTCAAATCCTGGAGAATTTTCTGAGGAGGTTGCTTTTGCTGAAGCTGCAACATTAGCAAAAGAGCAAAATGCACTCGATCTACTACTTAATCAGGTTCCTGAAAATTTCGAAACCGAAGCAATCCAAAATGCAGCTATGTCCATCACAAACTTAATGAATCCATCTGGTAAGTAATAGTGCCTGCAGTTTACAATTCAAAAATCGATCTGACTATTGCTTTCTGGTAAAACCACTTCACAAAGACCGTTTGGCTGAGAGTGCAACTGATCAAACGTATTTGAGGCTGGTTGAATGTGGAACTTTACATCAAAAAAACCTCGTCTATCTCCGAACAAAGCATGATAGTCAGGTGGCTCGCCATAAAGGGAATGAACGACACCTGATCAATCCTGACGACTTAAGATTGGACAGTACGACTGTGGACGGCAAGATGAATCCCAGCGAGTGTTCAAAGGCTATTTCTGTATACATGAAGAGTCTTGTCAGCACACCAACCGGTGCAGCCCGTAGACACCGCTGGAGTATGGATATTAGGATCAATCTTAGTGGTCTTATTCTCAACACATCTCACCTCCAACAAGTCGACTTGCAGCAACTATTTGATGGAGGTTTGATCACGCCTGAAAATCCCATTGAGCCCGGCAAATTGCTTTTAGCAATCAAGAATCAAGTAAGTATTGATTTGAAGAATCTGCTGGTCTTGTCATTGATTGCTGCTGATCAATTTGTTTTTGAAGCAAATGCATTTATGTCGCACAGCAAGCCTGGCTCGCAGCGCTGCGCAGCGCTGAAAACGTAGAAATCGGCAGCGCTGCGATTTTTTTGGAGACCCTACCTAGTTAGTTTCAGCGGGGGCGCGGCGAGTATCTTGCTACAAAATAGTAACGCAAAGCGCGGTGATTTCACGCAGCGCATCGCAGCGTTTCAAGCAAAAAAGTGGTGATTTTTTTTCAAAACAAGTCAAGCCAAAAAAAAAGAAAAACAAGCGCTATTCTTGTAAAGACAGTAAAGAAAACTAAACAAGTAAGATAAAACAGACTAATTGTAAAGACCGTAAAGAAAAAATAAAAAAATTGATTGAAAATAATAAAGTAAAGTAAGATAAACCATTTGTAACGAGCGTAAAGAAAAGCTTGAAAAATTTAAAAGAACCTGATAGAGTAAAATAAAATAAATTCACTGTAACGACTGTAAAGAAAGATTGAAAATAATTTAAACTAGTAAAGTAACCCAAACTAACTAGACATAAGTATTACGGGTTTTCTTTTGAATTGATTTCTTTGCATAAGACATCACCTTCTCCACTTCAGCAAAGTCACCACTCAATGGGACACCTTCTGAAACCCACAACTGGCCACTGACTGTCATCTCGATCATTCGAGGAGTCATCCCACCTCATTCTGCTGTACACACACGTCCAGCCACGCTGAACGAACGTTCCGGTGCAGCAGACGCAGCAGGCGTGGCAAGATAGTCCTGAGCTAAGACTGACAAGACTGGGTATTTCCCAGCATGAGCCTAAATAAAATCTATGATCAGTTTAATTGCAAAATAAGAATGTGCGGAAAAACTATGCTCACCTTCCACCAATCCAAAGCAAGTTGTGGATTGTTCAAGTTAGGACTTGCCATTGGATCAACCCCTTGAAGATATTGATCAAGCTCACTAAGCTCGCTCGATGTCACTACATCACTGTAGAAAGACGGCATTAAAGATCCAAAACCGTCTACAGTCGGGGATTCGGATCGAGGAGGAGTCGTGGTTTGGTGATCAAGGAACATATCATCCCGTTTCTGAGTAAACACAGATCTCAATAACTGCTCAGCCCGATTATTACCTTCAGACCCCATTCCCAAAGAATGCGAGAAAAATTTGACTCGAAGTCCAGGGTGGAAAATGGCGGCTAAGATCAATGTGTCGCAATCGAGGGCTTCGTTCAGGTATGCAATGATCTTGTCGATCATAACATCCACCATGGGGTAGAGGGGGTCGTTTTCATGCATCTTCTTGATTTGATCCTCCATGGAAGCCTTCAGCTGAACATACTTCACCAAAACCAAGCATCCGGTTGGCTTATTGCCTTCCATCTCCCGAGTCAAAAACTTGAACAGCTGGAAAGGAGGAAAAGAAGAAGATTAGAATAAGTATAAAAAGATTGAAAATGAATGAAAAATATAAAAAATCAAGTAATACCTACCGTCAGAATGTCCAACATGTCCCTCATGGCTCGCCAATCTGCAACAGAGAATACCACCTCCTCAAAATACCCATGCTTTTTCCCATCCTTCCTCGGGCGACGCCTCTTCGAATGGACTTCTTCCATGTCATCCCTCATGACTCGATCAATGAGCTAATACATGGACACACTTAGCAACCTTCATAGACCAAACAGATAGGATAAGAAAATAACAAAACCTACATTACGAGACTCCCACATCCTCTCCCAACGTTCAGCACGGATACCCCAGCGTATACCATGACCTGATAAAAGGGCTTTGAGTTGAGATAAATCTTCATCTTGACGCTGCAAATTTGCTTGTTGTCGGCGGCGATTGAAGTCGGCCCGGTGGGCGCTTGAACGGGTGAGCTTCTTGTTCACAGTATCCATCTAAATAATGAAGCAAAAA